GCACCCCTCTGAGCGCAACATGGCCAAGCGCAAGGTGTCCAAGTCCGAGTCTGAGCCCACCGCCGGCGGGGCGTCGAAGCGGAGCAAGAGTCTCGGCGCGGTGGCAGGCAGCTCAGCATCGCAGTCGGAGCCGCAGTCGCAGCCGCAGCCGCAGCCGCAGCCGCAATCGCAGTCGCAGCCTCGAGAGCTCGAGGCAAGCATGCTCGATGATTTTATTCTGCGCAAGATCGTGAAGGAGAACCACGGCAGCGAGGTTGTTGGTCTCGAGTTCAACCGGGTCCAGGCCGATGCGAGCAACATGGTGGCCACCGTGGGCGCCAACCAGCTCAATGTGTACGATAACGAGCACATCGGCGACCATCTCGACATTGTTTCGCAGTACATGGCGCCTGACACCGAGGACTCAATCTTGTGTATGGCATGGGCGGATGCTCCGGTCGACTCTCTGCTGGTCGTCGGCAACTCGGCCGGCCGGGTTCAGGTGATCTCCCTCGTCAACTCGGTGGTCATCGCCGAGGCCACCGTCCACAGCGCGGCGGTCACTGCGCTCCATGTTCCGCTCACTACATCCGACCACATGCTCATTACGGCCTCGCGCGCCGAGGGCGTCGTCAAGGCCTGGTCGCTACCGGATCTGACGCCGCTGGCGTCGCTCGCCTCTGCTGCCGGCTGCATCACCTCGGCCGCGCCTGCGCCGCACTGGGCGGCGGCGCGGACGGCGGCAGAAGAGCCCGCGTCGGACGTCACGCTCGTTGTCGGCACGCTTGGCGGCGACATCGAGGTCTGGGACGTGCCGACCGATGGCAGTGGGCGCGAGCCAGTCGCTCGCGGCTCGCTGGTCCGCAGCGAGCTGCCTGCCCGCCAGCACCTGGCGCCCATCGACTGTGTCCGCGTCATCTCGACAACAGCGCTTGTCTCAAAGTCGACCGACGGCCGGCTGGTGGTGTGGCAAAAGGGCGAGGCCGCTGCCCTCGAGACCGCCGTCGCCAAGTGTGCGCTCGCTGTCGAGCCACCCACGCCGCAGGCTGGCCCCATCTTTACCTCGTTTGACGTCTCGGCCAACGGCAAGTATCTGGCGGTTGGCTCGGCCAAGACGGTCCAGCTCATCTCGACCGAGACCTGGTCAGTCGACAAGGTGTTGGAGCACCATCGGGTGCGGACCGAGGTCTACACCGCCCGCTTCACCAAGACCGGGAGCTCGATCATCTTTTCCGGCTCGGACGCTTTCATTTGGCGCTTTGACTACTTTCCGCCCGAGACCGCTGACGAGAAGGCCGTGCGCGAGGCGCGCGAGGCACGGCAGTCCAAGATCCAGTTCCGTGACAGCTAATGGCCGCCACAAACTACACTTGTGCTCAGTAAAGATCCACCTCGTCGGGGTCGTCGACGCCGACTTGTGGGTCGTGCGGCGAGACGTGGCGGTCGATCTTTGAGAGCGCGATCTGGAAAGCGAGCGAGGCGTCCTTGGACGGCTGTGCAGGCTTGTACGACGACGAGGAGCCGTACATCATGCGGCGGACGCCGACCGAGTGCAGCTCCTGCAGCTCCTTGGCGTGGATGTCGGCTTCGAGCTTGCGCTGCGCTTTGACCTTTTCGATGGCCACGCGCATGCGGGTGATCTTGCTCTCCAGCGCCTGGACGTTCGCGCGGAGGTTGTCGTTCTCGTCCTTGGCCGCGTTGAGCTGCTCGATGGCGGTCTTAAGCGCCTTGCGCGACTCGCCGAGTGCCTTGTTTGTCGACTTGAGCTCGTTCTTGCTCAGATCGCGCTCGTGGTTCGCCTGCGTCAGCCGCGACCACAGGTTCGACGCCGAGGCCTCAGCAGCCACCCGCTTCGCCGAGGCCTCCTTAGCCTCCTCGCGCACAACCACGAGCGTGTTCTTGGCCTCGTCCAGCTCGGCCTGCAGATCCTCGCAGTGGACGTGCAGCTTGTCGAGCTCGCTGCGGCTCTGCATTTGCGCCTGCCGGTGAGTCTTGACCGTCTCGGTCAGCTCGGCAATCTGGCTCTCGTACGCGACTATGCTCTCCTCGGCGCGGGTGTGCTCCATCTCCAGCTCAGCTTCGAGCCGCGTCAGTCGCGCCATCTGAGCCGTCGCCAGCTTGTTCCGCGCCACCCACTCCTGACACACCAGACAGTACTCGGCCGCCACCTCGGCAGCCTCCACCGACTCTGGAATGAGATGTCCGCGCCGCTTGACCAGCAGCTTGCACCGCGGCGCCCGCTTCCTCCGGCGCTTGCCCTTGCTCTTCCTGCCACCGAACCCGGTCTGCCCTATCCGTCCCTTCCGCCGCCCGCTTGCCATCCCTGTCCTTGTTCCCCTACTCGTTCCCGTCCCTGTCGCCACCGTCCGCCCGCCGTCCTTCCCCTCATTGCCCTGCCCGTTGGCTCCGCTCGTCCCGCCCGACTCGGCATACTCGTACTCGTACTCGCCGTCGTTTCCTCCGCCACCCCGGCCACTACCAGACGCCATACTTGTCCAACTATGCCGGCTGTACGGTTGTGCTGAAGAGCTGTGATGTGAGCTGAGATGGCTGGGTGGGGGGGGGGCGAGGAGGAGGTGAGGTGGTCGGTAGTCGAGGACGACGCAGCTCTCGTCGCCCTCGCCCGCTTACACCACACCACTCCACCGACCAGCGGACATGAGCTCGACAGAGTACGACTACGAGGCGCGGTGCATGTGTGGGGCTGTGGCGTACGGAATGGTAGGCGAGCCGATCATGAGCGTGTACTGCCACTGCTCGATGTGCCGGAAGCACACAGGTGCGCCGTTTGTCCACTCGGCGGCATGGATGGCGGAGAAGGTGACTGTAGTGTCTGGCGATGGTGATGCCTGCGTCATCGCATACAACTCGAGCGATGCCTTTACCCGCGGATCGTGCGCAGCTTGTGGTGGAGCGGTGGCCAACGCTGTTGCTGCCCACGGTATGATTGGATTTCCCGTCGGCATCATCGACGGCGCCTACGTTGACAACACCTACAAGTCGGCCTTCAAGCCGGCATGTCATCTCTTCTACGGCAATCGCGTGGTCGACATCGTCGATGGCCTGCCCAAGCTCAAGGCCAAGTCACCAGAGGACGGCGTGCTTCCCGAGACCGCCACCTCTGCTCCTGCCGGCGACGACGGTTGATCACCCGCCGCTAGCCCATGGCTCGCACTGGCCCATGGCCCGTACTAGCCCATGGCTCGCACATCTGACCGAGCCAGCAAGTCTAGCAGCCGTCCGTACTCGGGTTATCTGCTTCTGCCCGCACCGGCTCGATCAACTGCTCGTGTGGAAGCCACACACTTGTCCCGAATACAACTCTGATGGCAGCAGAAGGACTGAGCCTGGACAAGGTGCTGAGCGAGACGACCGTAGACCGGGACGAGGAGATGGTGGCCTCTCTTGGCGGAGTACGTACCTACTTGTTGATATGACTTTGCACACAGCTGCCGTCGTAGCCTCCCTCCCTCCCTGCCTTGTTGGTGTACCCTGTCGTGTGCGCCTGAAAAAGGGGTGCCTTGGCAAATGGCCCGCTGGGGGCGCTCGGCCACAGCTTCCCTGCTCGCGTGAGGGGCCACAGTGACTGAAGATAACGAATCTGAGGAACAGGACTCACATCAGGCCATGGCGTATGTGTGCGGCTACAGACTGGTGTGCTCAAGTGTGTGCTGGACGACGGAACGACCTCGGTGCAGACGGTCAATCTTGGGCAGGTACGGTACAATGTTCGGCAGGCTGTGTTGCCGCCCCACATCACCCCCTTCTCCCTCGCTCCGCTCTACCTCGCTTCGCTTTGATTTGATCATGGCGGCGCTATGGATGGGCCAAGTCGACGCGTACTAGCTGCTCCGCTTCCCCTCCCTCCCTTCCCCTCATATGTACCAACACTCACTCTGACAGCGATCCGGCACAGACGGTCCAATATCTCAAGCTGCTGCTGGCCGAGGCCTTTGAGAAGCCCATATCTTCGCTCTCGCTTTCGTACAACGACGAGCCGCTCATCGATCCCATCTCCATCTGCGATTGCATCCCAGAGGCTGCCTTTGATGGCGAAGTTGTCATCAACGTGAGCGTCCAGTGACATCAGCCGGGCGTTAAAGTGTACGGAGAGGACTGCGTTTATCCCCCTATGACATGGCCTCGGCTTGGAGCTCTTGCATCAACTCAGCCAGCTCTGTCTCCACCCGCCCCAGTGCAGCCTTGCTCTCAGAGAGCTTGGCGGAGAGAACCTCGCCACGCGGAACGACGCCGTCGACAGGCTCATCGCCCTCGCCGCTGTCGGTAGTTCCGCTTGCCTTGCGCAGCACGTCCTCGGATTGCACGCGCAGTGCATGGATGGCCGAGACGAGCATGAGCCTATCGCGCTCGACCTGCTGGATGGAGCGGACAAGAGCCGCCAGCGGCTTCGACGCCAGTTCGCTCTCCGGCGCACGCAGGCGGGCCTCGATGTTGCGGACAGCGTTAGATGTGGTGGCAAAGATGCCTGTCGCCTCCTCAACCCGTGCCATGTAGCTTTGTGGCGAGATGCGATCGACGGTACCTGCCGGCGCGAGCAGCGCCTCCAACGCCGCGTTCATCTCGGCGTACGTCTCCTGCCGCCGCAACTGCAGCCGCACCATCCGCGCCATCAGCTCGCCCGTGCTCTGCGCAGCCACAGGCGTCGCAGCCATCGCCTCGGCCGGTGGCACTAGTGCTCCCGTCGAGCACGCCCGGCCTTCATCCCCGCCACAGCAGCCCGCCGCGCCCGCCGCGTCCGCCGCGCCGGCGACGTCGGCTGTGCCCGCCGTGCTCGTGTCCGTCGCGCCCCCAGCCGCCTCTTGGCCCACCGCTACCGCCTCCATCTCCTCCTTGCACGACTGCGACATGCCCTGCCAGCCGAACTTGTTCTCCAGACGAGTGTCCCGTCCGCTAGCCACACCGCCTCTACCGCCTCGCTCTGCCATCGCCTCACCTTCCCCTCCCCCTTCCCCCTCCTCCCCACACCCATGCCCATTCCTAATCAACCAACCAGCCATCCAACTAGCTAGCCACGGACTTTCATCTTATCATCATCACTACCATTACCAATCCGATCATCATCCCCATTTCCCCTATGCCTTTCCCATCGCCCCAACGCCCCAAAGCCTGCCCCTCCATCTC